TTCAATTCTTTCAGCAACTTTTGATTTTCATTATACCTTTCACTTCCTTGGTTAATTCCTTTTTTTTTTCAATTTTTTAATGTTTTATTTATTTCTAGGAGAGAGAGAGAGAGACAGCGCGAGCAGGGGAGGGTCAGAGAGAGAGGGAGTCACAGACTGAAACAGGCTCCAGGCTCTGAGCTGGCAGTCAGCACAGAGCCCGACGCGGGGCTTGAACCCACGAACCGCGAGATCATGACCCAAGGGAAAGTCGGACGCTTAACCGACTAAGCCACCCAGGCGCCCCTCCTTGGTTAATTCCTAAGTACTGTATTTTATTCTTCTTGATGTGATTGTAAGTGGAATTGTTTATGTAATTTCCTTTTTTTTTTTTTTTTCTTTTCAGATTGTTCCTTGCTGGTGTATAGATACACAACTGATTTTTATTGTTATCAACTTTGTATCTTGCTACTTTGCATTTCATTTATCAGCTATAACAGCTAATAAATATTATTATTTATTATTCTTATTTATTATAACAGCTAATAATTGGGGGGGGAATTTTCAAGATTTTCTATGTATACAATCATATCATCTACAAACAGATCATTTTATTTCCCCTTTTCCTGTTTGAATGCCATTTATTTCTTTTCCTTGCTTGATTGCTCTTGCTGACACTTTCACCACTCTGCTGAATGTTTGAAGTAGGCATTCTTGTCCTATTCTCAGTCCTAAAGGAAAGCTTCCAGTCTTTCACCACTGAGTATAGTGATTGCTGATGTTTTCATATATATTGAGGCCTTCATTATATTGAGGTGGTTTCCTTCTATTCCTAGTTTGTTGAGTGTTTTTTATCAGCAAACGTTATTAAATTTTGTCAGATGCTTTTTCTGCATCAAGATGATCATGTAGGTTGTTTCCCCTTCACCTGTTTTTTAAATTATTTTATTTTATTTCATTTCATTTTTAGAGAGAGAGAGTATACAAGCAGGATGGGGTAGAGGAGGAGAGAGAGCAAACAAATCTTAAGCAGGCTCTACAGTCAGCACAGAGCCCAATGTGGGGCTCAATCCCACAACCCTGGGATCATGACCTGAGCTGAATTCAAGAGTCAGACACTTAACCAGTTGAGCCACTCACGTGTCCCTCCTCTTCTCCGTTAATGTGATATATTAAATTAATCGATTTTCATATGTCAAACCATCCTTGCATTCCAGAAATAAATCCTACTTGGTCGTGGTGTATAAGCCTTTAATAAGCTGCTGAGTTTGGTTTGCTGGCATTTTGTTAAGGTTTTTTTTTTTACACCAATACTCATAAGGAATACTGGTGTGTAGCTTTCTTATAGTGTCTTTGTCTGGCTTTGGTATCAAGGCGATGCTAGCCTCACAGAATGATTTAAGAAGTATTCCCTCCCCTTCAGTTTTTTGGAAAAGTTTGAGAAGGGCTGGTATGGTTCTTCTCTAAATGTTTGATAGAATTCACCAGCAAAGCCATCAGGTCCTGGGCTTTTCTTTGTTGGGAGATTTTTGATTACTGATTCAATACCCTTAGTCATTATAAATCTATTCATATTTTCTGTTTCTTCACTATTGAATCTTGATAGATTTTGTATTTCTTGGGAATCTGCCCATTTCATCTAGGTTATCACATTTGTTGGTGTACAACTCTCCAATAATATTCCTTTATAATCTGTAATTTTTATACAGATTTTTATAGTTTATATTAAAAACTATAATCTGTAGTCTTTATTTCTGTAAAATCAGTAATGTCCCCAATATCATTTTTTATTTTAGCAATTTGTGTATTTTCTCTTTTCTAGGTCTATCCAGCTAAAAGTTTGTCAATTTTGTTGATCTTTTCAAAGGGCCAACTTTTAGTTTAATTTTCTCTCTTTTGATTAATTCTGATCTAATCTTTATTGATTACTTCATTCTGCTAGCTTTGGACCTAGTTTATTCTTTTTCTAATTTCTTTCTTTTAAAAAATGTTTATTAATTTATTTTGAGAGAGAAGGAGAAAGAGCACTAGATGGGGAGGGGCAGAGAGAGAGAGAGAAAATTGCAACCAGACTCTGCACTATCAGTGCAGCCCAATGCAGGCTTTGATCCCATAAACCGTGAGATCATGACCTGAGCTGAAATCAAGAGTCAGATGCTCAACTGACTGAGCCACCCAGGTGCACGTCTTTTTCTAGTTTTTTTTAAGGCAGAAAGTTAGGTTGTTGATATGAGGTGTTTCTTATTTTTTACTGTAAGCTTTTACAACTATAATTTTCTCCTTCAGTGCCACTTCCCCTGCATCCCATGTTTTGGTGTGTTGTGTTTTCATTTTCATTTGTTTCTAAGTATTTTCTTTTTTAAAAATTTTTAATGTTTATTTACTTTTGAGAGACACAGAGAGACAGAGCACAAGCAGGGGAGGGGCAGAGAGAGATGGAGATCCGGCTCCAGGCTCTGAGCTGTCAGCACAGAGCCCAATATGGGGCTGGAACCCACAAACCATGAGATCATCACCTGCGCTAAAGTTGGACACTTCACCAACTGAGCCACCCAGGCACCCCTCTGAGTATTTTCTAATTTCCCTTGTGATTTCTTCCCTTTGGTTATTTAAGAATGTGTTAAGGGGCTCCTGGGTGGCACAGTTGGTTAAGTTTCCGACTTTGGCTCAAATCACGATCTCATGGTTCGTGACATTGAGCCCCATGTCAGGCTGTCTGCTGTCAGTACAGAACCCACTTTGGATCCTCTGTCCATGTCTCTCTCTGTCCCTCCCCTGCTCATGCACACCTGTGCACTCTCTCTCACTCTTACAAAAATAAACATTAAAAAAAAAGAATGTGTTAGTTTTCACAAATTTGTTTCTCAACTTGTTTAGATCTTTTAACATGTATGTCAATAATGTTTTGTAGTTTTCAAATCTTGCATTTCTCTTGTTAAATGTGTGCCTATGTATTTTATTCTTTTTGATACAGTTATGAATGGAACGGTTTTCTTAATTTTGTTCTAGAATCTTTTTTGTTGGCAGAATATAAAAATACAACTTATTTTTTATATTGATTTTATGACTGTGACTTTGCTGAACCTATTTATTAGTTCTAGTAGTTTGTACTATGTATGTGTGTGTATTCCTTAGGATTTCCTACATGTAGGGTATGTCATCTATGAATAAAAACAATTTTATTTCTTTATATCCAGTTTAAGTTCCAGGAACTCAAAATTGGTTTAACAAAGTTCAATACAGTTCAAACTGTATCTGCTACAGTATGAATGAATCTTGATCATTATAAGTGAAATAAGCCAGTCACAAAAATACAAATATTATGTTATTTCATTTCACTTATTTGAAGTACATAGAGAAGCCAGAATCACAGAGACAGAAGGTAGATGGTGGGTACTGGGGTCAGGTGGAGGGAGACCGGGAGTGAGTATTTAATGGGGACAGAGTTTCAGTTTTGGGAGACAGAAAAGTCCTGGAGATGGATGGGGGGGGGGCGGGGGGATAATCGTTGCACAACTATATAATATTCTTACTACTACTGAAATGAAGCCTTAAAATGGTTCAGTACAGTGATAAATTTTATATGTACTTTGCCATAATGAAAAAAATTTTTTAAGTCAATTGGTAGATTTTATTACATTTACAGAAGATGAAAACTACATGATAATGTCAATAAATGCAAAACATGGATGAAATTCAATGCCTGTGCAATACCTTGTTGTTTTCTTTTTTAACAAATTGGAAAAAAAGAAACTTCCTTAATTTGAAAAGTGCATCTACAAAAATCCTAAAGCTAACATATTTCCTAATGAAACCGTTAACACACTTAGTTGAAAGTGTCTCTTGAAATCAGAATGAGACAAAGATGTCCACGATCATGACTCCTATTCAGTATTGGCTGTGTGGTCTGTTTGGTTTAATAGTACAGAAGAAAGAAATAAACGGCCTAAGATCAGAAAGAAGCAAATCAACTTACTGATGACCTGATTATGCACGTAGGAAAATTTCAAAACGTGCAGAAAATTATTATTATGTGACTTTTGCCAGGTCAGTGGGTGCCAGGTCAATATACAGAATTCCATTGCATTTCTATGCATAAACAACACCATGAAGTGGGAATGTAAAAATACAATCTACAATACCAGCGAATATCCAGAAAAAAATATAATAAAATATATTGAAGACCCTAAACACAACATTATAAAATTAAACATAGAAACTAATGTCCTAAAAAGTCTCTGTGTGTGTGCGTGTGCGTATAAAACCATGTGCGTGAATTAGAAAACTCAGTGATGTAGAGATTTTTTTTCCTTCCAAAACTAATCTATAGATTCAATGTAATCCCAACCAGAATCTATTCAGGGATTTTTCTTAGGGGCTGAGGTGGGAGGAATTGACAAACTGATTCTGAAATTTATTTGGAAATATAAATGATTTAAGAAAAGCCAGATAACCTTGATCAAGAAAAACAAAATTAGAGGACTTCTACCCATATTGCAAGACTCATTATCAATCTACAGTAATCATGACAGGGTGGCATTGGGCCGCCTGCATGAACAGATCCGTGTAACTGAACAGAGTCTAGAAGCAGATCTCATGTACATGGTCCTTTAGGATCAAGGAGCCACTGCAGATCCACAAGGAAGGGTTAGTCCTTCCGCTAAATGGTGCTTGAGCAGTGAGCATCCTTACAAACAAAAAAAGTGTATCTTGAGTCCCGTCTCAGAAATGCACAAAGATTAATTTGAGCTGTATCACGTGACATGTGAAAGTTTAAAAAAAATATAGAGTAAATCTTCATGACCACAAGGAAGGCAAACATTTCTTAAATAGTTCACCAAGAGCACTAATCAGAGAAAAGCTGATAAAGTGTACTTTGTTGACATGAAAAACTCTGTTTATCAAGAAACACTGCAAAGAGAATGGAAAGACATGCCACAAAGCGCAGGAGCACATTGACTACACACATGCATGACAGAGGTCTCGCGAATCTCATGGACTCTCTGGGTCTTGCTTTGTAGCGGTGACGCTTTCATCTCCAATTCAAGAAATCACTTTTCGCAGTGCCAGGCTCTGCTGAACAAAATCACATCTGTGAACCCTCAGACAGAGATCGATGGGCTTCGGAACATCTGGATCATCAAGCCAGCAGCCAAGTCCCGTGGCAGAGGTGAGTGGAGGCTGGGGGCTTTGAGTGCAGCACGCCAGGTGCAGGTGCGCAGGTGCAGGTGTTCAGGTGCGCAGGTGCACAGATGTTCAGGTGCAGGTGCACACGTGCTCTGGTGGAGGTGCGCAGGTGCGCAGGTGCACAGATGTTCAGGTGCAGGTGCACACATGCTCTGCTGGAGGTGCTCAGGTGCAGGTGCGCAGGTGCACCACTCGGGGCTCGCAGTGGGGCAGATGGCTCCGTGACGCTGATCTTCATGCCTGAGTTCCAAGCTTTGCTCATTAACTGGGATGTTCCCACGTTAAACTGGGCTGGGGTTTCCTGTTTTATATCACCTCTCCAGCGTTGGCAACAGGCTTATGCCAGCTGCTAAGATGGAGTGAGGACTTCCTGTCAAACAACAGCGGAACCCCTGTCACTAGGTTAGTTTTTAAAACTCACCTGTGAGCACCAGGCTGTCTGGGAGGCACGTCCGTACTGCCTGTAACTTTTGTCTGTGTTTCTGTCTGATGGGCTCAGATTTTGTACCTCATCTTGTGTTGTAGCTATGACTGTGTTCTCTTTATTCCTAATGGCGAATGTTGTGTGTTCTTTTTTAAAAACAGAATTTCAAAGTTTTAAAATCTTATTTGTGTTTCCAAAGAACCAACCTTAAGTTGCATTTTTTCATTTCCTTTGAGGGATTTTTTTCTCCCTTGGCTCTGACTTTAATGCTCAGCTTATTTATTTCCAGTCTTTCTTGTACAACAGTAAAAGCCTTAAGTCTGTGAAATTTCCTCGGAAGATGGTGCTCACTGCAACGTCCATCTTGTTAGTATTATGGGATGGTCTCACTTTCCTGAGTATCTAAGTAGACTTTACTTTTTCTTTGGATATTTAATTTTCCCCTTGAGTCCATTGAAGTTTTGTTGGTGTTTCACATTCATAAGTGGTTACGTTTTATGCGACTTAAAAATCTTTATTAATTTGTGATGTTACTGCATCCGGTCCCACAGGTCTGGGCCTCCGCCCACTCTCCCCGAGTGCCGCCCTCCCCCACCCCCACCCCCCAGGGCTGGGCGTGGGCTCCTCCAGCGGCTCTGTCCCAGCCTGGTCTCCTTGCCATTAGCACCTGTCTGCTGGCGGCTCCCTCCTCCCGTCCATCAGGCCCGACCTTCCTCCCACTGCAGAGCGTGGAGCCTGCTTGGGATTCTCTCTCTCTCTCTCTCTCTCTCTCTCTCTCTCTCTCCCCCCCCCTTCTCCACTCACTTGCTTTCTCTCTCTCTCAGATAAAAAGACAACAAATGGTGACAGATTATCTTTGTCACTGTGTTTAAAAGAAGTAAAAGTGCCTCTGTCCCCATCCCTGCCCCCCCCCACTCTTGTGTCCTCTGTTGAGTCCTGGGGGCTGGCCCCCTGCCAGGAGAGCCGGGGGTGCTGGTTGTGGCTGCCCAGCCGTGCTGGCTCCTGTCCTGGATCAGAGCCGTCGTGGGTCTCGGGGCTGAAGGCGACCCCGTGCGCCGCGCCCCGCGGCTGAGTGCTGGCCTCTTGCAGACATCGTGTGCATGAACCGAGTGGAAGACATCCTGGAGCTGGTGGCCGCAGACCGCCCCTCTGCCAGGGACAACAAGTGGGTGGCGCAGAAGTACATCGAGACCCCGCTGCTCATCTACGACACCAAGTTTGACATCAGGCAGTGGTTCCTGGTCACCGACTGGAACCCCCTCACCGTCTGGTTCTACAAGGAGAGCTACCTGCGGTTTTCCACACGGCGCTTCTCCCTGGACAACCTGGACAGGTCAGTCGGACGTCAGCTTGGTGCCCCTGGCCACGCGGGGTGCGTGGCGCGCTCCCACCAACACCTGCAGGACATGGGGGGGGGCCACGTGTGCCGTCACCACCTGAGGCACAAGTGAGGAAAGTGCGGCTCGGGTCGGTTACATGACCTCCATCCCCAGTGGCCGGCCCAGGCCGACTGTCCCTCAAAGCCGGTGTTCTGCACTCCCAGGATGTGGGTATCTTCTCCAGAACATCCTAAAAGCACCATTTGCCGTGTGCCCACGAGGTGCCAGGCGCGGCCTGGGCGTGGCATCTCCACGACGGGGCCAGAGCCACCGTCGCCGTGGCGGCTGCCGCCCCCTCCGCTGGAAGGGCTGGGTGGCCAGCTGTGCTCACACGCACGCCCCCAGCTGGCCATGTGTGTGTGCACGTGCTGCCTGCCACACTGGCCTTCGCTCTCTCTGGATCCTCCGGGCACGCAGGCCAGGGCACTTCTGGGGGCTCCCGGGCCACGTCCGCTCGTGCCAGCCCCTCAGCGCCCTTCAGGGATTCCTGCCTGGCCTTCTCTTTGTGAGTCCCAGAGGCCCTGAGGCGGGGGGTGCTGCAGATGGGCAGGGGTCCTGCTGGCGCTGCGGGGCAGGTAGGGGTGCAGCCTGTGGGATGCGAGAAGAGCTGAGGGGTCCTCTGAGGACCCCAGCCACGCCAGGCAAGGGCAAGGAGTAGGAGCACCTGAGCCAGAAAAGGCCAGGACGGTGTGAGCAGCACCCCAGATCCTGAGGCCCCGGGGGGCTGGGTGCTGGGGAGGGTGCCACGTGGAGGTGCTGGGCAGAGGCTCAGACCTCCAGGAATGGGGTGCCAGGGTGAGCCCACACCTTGCCAGGGTCTCCAAGTGGGCAGGACACGTGTGTGGCATGGATGGCGAGGGCCCCTTGGCAAAGCCTCGGACACATGCTCTCCTCCAGGCAGAGAATTTCCATGGACTCTGTCCAGACCAAGGGCTCCCCGGTTCTGCTTTGTGACCCCACTGGGCGCGTGGGGCTGGGCGTCCAGGCCTCTTGGCCAGGGGCTTTCCGGGGAGCCATTGAGAATTAGGAGGGCTGACAGCTGTGCAGCTGATTGACGGGGTCCCCTGGCCCCTCGGCCACACCGAGTCACAGGCTGTCAGGGACGGTGGTTCTGGCTGGGGGGCGGGGGGCCCGAGCTCACTGTGCGCAGGAGCCTCCCGGGCAGTGAGAGGCCCAGAGCGCCCCCGCCGGCCCTCCCACCCGAGGCCACCCGGCCCCGCCGGGTCCCGAGGGTGGGCCTGGCAGAACTCTTGCCTCTCTGAGCCCCATTTCTCCGTCTGGGACCGTAGCCCGCACCCCAGGCACACAGTTTCCCTGAAATCGTTTCTGACAGGGCATCACCCAGCCTGGGACAAACCGGCAAAAGTCAGCACTGGCACTGTGGGTCCACTACCCTAATTCCACTGTTTTTGGGTTGCTAGACCCTTCTGTGTGCCTAGATCTTGTTTCTCGTATCTGTCCTGCGCAAGTGTGAGCTATCCAGGGTCACAGGGACAGGCTTCCCCTCCCAGATCCAGGTGGTTCATGTCGTCCACTTACCTGTTTCAAAGTCTGTTTGAAGCAAGGCAAGAGTGTCAATTAATTCCCGAAACCTTCACAGAGACTCTTTCTCACTTTGTCTCCCAGGCCGGCTCTTCAAGGGCCCCAAGTCCATTGCCGGGCGCAGATGGGGGGTGTTACTTCCGGGGGAGCCCCACCAGCTGCCGCCCTGGGCTAGGGGCCGGCTGCCGGATCGGGGACTAGGGTGTCGGCCAGAGGGGGAGGTGTCTGTGCTGGCATCAGGGACGGTGCGGGCATAAGGGTTTCGGGGGACTGGGTGGCAGGGTCCAAGGTCTCGGCTGCAGAGTCCCCGGCGGCGGCCTGACCGCAGCCTCGCCTGCAGCGCCATCCACCTGTGCAACAACTCGGTCCAGAGGCGCCTGAGGAACGAGGAGGACCGCAGCCCGCGGCTGCCCTGCCACAACATGTGGACCAGCACCAGGTTCCGCCAGTACCTGCAGAAGCGGGGCCGCGGGGCCGTGTGGGCGGACGTCATCTACCCGTCCATGAAGCGGGCCATCGCCAACACCATGAAGGTGGCGCAGGACCACGTGGAGCCGCGCAAGAACAGCTTCGAGCTGTACGGAGCCGACTTCGTCCTGGGCCGCGACTTCCAGCCCTGGCTGATCGAGATCAACTGCAGCCCCACCATGCACGCGTCCACGCCCGTCACGGCGCAGCTGTGCGCCCAGGTGCAGGAAGACACCATCAAGGTGGTGGTGGACCGCAAGGTCGACCGCAACTGCGACACCGGCAACTTTGAGCTGCTGTGGAGACAGGTGGGGCGGGGCGCGCGGGGCAGGGGAGGCGCTGGGGGCCACACACCTGCTGCTGCGGGTCCCTGGGTCCCTGCGTAGCTGCAGCCGCTTCAGCAAACCGCGCAGTAACTCAGGACACCCCCCGCCCCCGGGGGGACTCTCCAGCCCTTTGCCGCTCCGCCTTACTCCCTCTCCCCCCAGGCCACCCCGGCTTCGTGGTCGCTGCAGGGAGGGCCCCTCCCTGGACTTGTGGGAGGCCCGTGGCCCCCAGACTCCGAATACCAGGCTGTCCCTTTCCAGACCTGCAGTGCCCCCCTCGCCCCCTCCTCCCCCCGATGAAAACCGCGTCCTCCTCCAGGGGTCTGTCCGGCCTGCGCTCCCTGGGCGCCTTCCTGCGGGCCCGGCCTCGGCGCTGGGTGCTCACTTTGCCGGGGACTCGGGCTGCCTGGGCGACCCTGTGCCGGAGCCTGGGGGGGGGGGGGGGGGGGGGGGGGGTGCGCAGCCAGCCAGGGTCTCCGGGCAGCCGGACGGGAGAGGGGGGCACGGGTGTCCCCGGGCAGGGGGGCCGGACGCGGGAGAGGGGGCACGGGTCCCCCGGGCCCTAACGCCGCCCCCCTCCGCCCAGCCCTCGGTGGAGCTGCCGCCCTTCCACGGCTCCGACCTGTGCGTGGAAGGCGTGAGCGTGAGGCCAGCCAGGAAGCAGATGCCGCCCATTTCCAGCAGTAACTTTCCATCCGCGCTCGGGGACATCCGGCCGCTGACCGCGAGGTGCCCCTCGGCCGTGCCCAGCCTGGCGCGCCGGGACCTGGGGCTCAACGACGCGCAGGTGCTCGCGTGCGCCCTGCCCGCGCCCCTGCGGAGGCCGCCGGGGGGCCGCTGCGACGCGCAGTCCGCGGGCGCCGCGTCCGGCGGGAACGGGGAGCCCCGCGCCGGGAGCTTGCAGCGCGTGGACCGCGAGGCCCCGAAAACCGGCCTCCGCCAAGCGGGGTGCGACAGGCGCCCGCGTGCGAACCCAGCGGGCGTGCGGGCCCTGCCGGCGGCGCTCCCGAGCGTCAGGACCGCGGAGGGCGCCCTGTTCCAGCCGCTCACGCCGCCAGGTACCAGTGCGGGCGCGCTGCCCTCGGGCCTGGGGCCGCCTGGGGCGCCCCGCCCCGGGAGTGGCCGCGTTGCTGGGGTCGCGGGGCCCCGCACGGGGGCTGCTGGGTGACGGCCTTTGCGTCCCTCCGCGTGGGGTGCGCATCGGGGACTCCGTTCGAATTCGCTGGGACGGGCGCCCGCGGCCCCTGGGCTCCTGCAAACCGCTTTCCGGGGTTCCCGACGGTGCTGCCCGTGCGCCGCCCGCGAGCCTGTCCCGGGCCTGGGCTCGGGGCACAGGGACACAGGTGTGGGGGGGCCCCGCGTCTGGGGGGTGGCCCTGCGGGGTCTGTGCCTCAGCGCGCGTCCCCGAAGTGGCCCGAGAGTATGTGTGATAACACGGGGGGGCCAGGCCGCTGCCCCCCCCCCGCTCCAGACGTGTGTCTCCGAAACACACCCTAATGTCCGTACCCGCCTGGGCCCCCGTGTCCCTCCCTCCCCCCGCCCCTTCCCCTGCCCTTCCCCTCCCCCCCGCCCCTCCCTCCCTGGCACCAGAGCGCGTTGCCCGATGGCCCTCCCCCCGGAGTGCAGGCCCCTGATGGCAGGACCCCCGCCGCCCTCACCGCTCACCCCAGCGGCCGGGGTGTGCGGGGCCCACGGGCAGCGCCCCCTCAGCCGTGTCTGCGCGTCCAGCGCCGGGGGGCTGCGCTGAGGGCTCCCCAGTCCCGCGCGCTCCCCTCGCCTCACGTCAGGCCGCCCCCGAGGCCGGTCCGCCCTCTGCTCAGCCGCTTGCCTCTGTCCAGATGGTTTGCTGTTAGGAAAAACACAGCACGCAGTTTTCCACATGGAACGTTCTAGAGGTGCGGCCTTTACGCGGTTACAGCCTCAGCATAGCACGTGTGTTAGCTGCAGTAACACAGCGCCGCCGACAGGTGGCTTCGTGACAGCAAGGTGCTCTGCGAAAGTTCTGGAGCCACAAGTCTGGAGTCAGGTGTTTGCAGGGCCATGCTCTCAGAGGCTGTAGGGAAGAATCCGTCCGCCTCTGGTCCAGCTCCTGCGGGGTGCTCCTGCGGGGTGCTCCTGCACCCCGGGGTGCTCCTGTGGGGTGCTCCTGTGGAGATGCTCCTGCGGGGTGCTCCTGTGGAGATGCTCCTGCGGGGTGCTCCTGCGGGATGCTCCTGGGGGATGCTCCTGCGGGATGCTCCTGGGGGGTGCTCCTGTGGAGATGCTCCTGCGGGGTGCTCCTGCGGGGTTCTCCTGCGGGATGCTCCTGGGGGGTGCTCCTGCGGGGTGCTTCTGTGGGGTGCTCCTGGGGGGTGCTCCTGCGGGGTGCTCCTGTGGAGATGCTCCTGCGGGATGCTCCTGGGGGGTGCTCCTGCGGGGTGCTCCTGTGGAGATGCTCCTGCGGGGTGCTCCTGCGGGGTTCTCCTGCGGGGTGCTCCTGGGGAGTGCTNTGCTCCTGCGGGGTGCTCCTGCGGGGTTCTCCTGCGGGGTGCTCCTGGGGATGCTCCTGGGGAGTGCTCCTGCGGGGTGCTCCTGTGGAGATGCTCCTGCGGGGTGCTCCTGCGGGGTTCTCCTGCGGGATGCTCCTGGGGGGTGCTCCTGCGGGGTGCTCCTGTGGAGATGCTCCTGCGGGGTGCTCCTGCGGGGTTCTCCTGCGGGATGCTCCTGGGGGGTGCTCCTGCAGGGTGCTTCTGTGGGGTGCTCCTGCGGGGTGCTCCTGGGGGGGTGCTCCTGCAGGGATGCTCCTGGGGGTGCTCCTGGGGGGTGCTCCTGCGGGGTGCTCCTGTGGAGATGCTCCTGCGGGGTGCTTCTGCGGGGTGCTCCTGCAGGGTGCTCCTGGGGGGTGCTCCTGGGCTTGTCCCTGGGCCGCTCCCCGTGGTGCCCTGTCCTCACATGGTGTTCTTTCTCTGTGTCCAAAGTTCACTCATAAGGACACTGCTGTTGGATTGGGGTCTGCTCCCTCCCTCCAGGGTGACACCTTAACCTAATGACATCCGCAAAGGCTATTTCTAAATAATGTCAGATTCACAGTTTCCAAGCAGGAGGTGACTTTGTGGGGAGGGGCTCTTGAACCCGGCACCCTGGGCCCTGTGAGCACGGCCAAAGGGGCTGCTCTCTGACTGCATTCACACTCGGGCCGTTCCTCCCGCTGCCGCGACACTTGGTGCCAACACACGTCTTCGTGTTTGCCTCTGGAGACAGCGTGATGGCGCTCGTGTGCACCGTGCGCCTTGCCAGTCAGCTGGCCCATTTTCAGACGTGTTTCCTCTCCTGAAAAGTCCCCACCCAAGCCTTTTGTCCAATTGTCCTTACACTCTTGCTCTCTTCCTTCCGGATTTGTAGGAGTGACGTCTCTTCTGGGTTCTCCTTTTTCCGTTGACCGTGTTGCAAGTACTGTCCCCCACCTTGTGATTTGTCTTTTTGCTCCGTTACAGTTGCAAAATACGGTACGCACTTGATTTTGATAAACCCAAGCTGGTCAACCTTTCCCTCTATGGTTGGTGATTTCTGTGGCTTGTCCTGAAGACAATCTCCAGAAGCTTCTTCTATATGCGCTGCCGTTGCTCATACGTTTCAGTCTTTAACGCTCCTAGAATTGATTTGGCGTGTGGTGGGAGATGGGTTTGATCACAGGTTTATGGGGCTACCCACTGTGGAGAGGCCCTCCCCACCCATGTGCAGCTTACCGCTGTCGCATACGGGATGCCTGGACTTTCTGGTGAGCTCCATTGGTCTGTCTGTGTGCCCTGGGCCAATGCCACGGCTCTCAGAACATCATTATGCTGGTTGGTTAAGTCCCACGATTTTGTTTTTCTTCCTCAGAAATGACTCTGCTGTTCTTGACCCATTTTACTTCCATACACATTACAGAACCAGCTTGTCAAGACCTACCCAAAAAATTAAAATTAAAAAAATTATTTTAAAGAATTTTAAATTTCTATTTAATTTTTGAGAGAGAGAAAGAGAGAACGGGGAAGGGGCAGAGCGAGAGGGAGACACAGAATCTGCAGCAGCTCCAGGCTCCAGGCTGTCAGCACAGAGCCCGATGTGGGGCTCGAACCCATGAACCATGAGATCATGACCTGAGCTGAAGTTGGATGCTCAACCAACAGAACCACCCAGTGGCCCTGAGAACTGATTTGTTTATATGACTGAGTCTTATCATCTGTGAACATGGCATACCTCTCCATTTACGTATTTAATGTTTTTCAGTAAGCTCCTAGAATTTTCTTTGTAATGGTTTTGCACTTCAAAAACATTTTTTAATGTTTGTTTTTGAGAGAGAGATGGAGCATGAAGTGGGGAGGACAGAGAGAGAGACAGAATCCGAAGCAGGCTCCAGGCTCTGAGCCATCAGCACAGAGCCTGATGCAGAGCTTGAACTTACAAACTGTGAGATCATGACCAGAGCAGAAGTCGGATGCTTAACCGACTGAGCCACCCAGCCACCTCTATTTGCACTTTTTTAAAGTTAGATTTAGTCTTGCTTGTGTTTTTATTTTTTTATTCTAGGGTAACTAATATCAAAATTTGTGTTTTTTCTACAAATTGTGGCTGGTTGATAGAAATGGAATTGATTTTTTATGAATTGATTTCTTTTTAATCCAGCCATCTGGCTAACATTTCTATCAATTCTGTTAATATATTTGAAGATTATTTTGGATTTTTCACATATACAACTATATCATCTGAAGAGTTTTCTTTTTTCTTGAAATCATTATTCCTTTTGTACCTTTTCTGATTTTATTGCACTGTCTATAACTTATTTAATTCATTTTTCTCATTTCATTGGATCTCAGGTGCATATACTCTGGTTGGTCATAATCCTTGGTTCATGGCATCGTTTCATTGTTTGTCCTTACATGGCCATTTTTATTTAGATCATTTTAAAAACACATTTAGAACCAAACGGTGGTCTACATCCATCCGTCTCTGGCACCCCT